TGATATATAGGACTCCTGGTGTGGCGCTATAGGATAAGCACTGATCTGCAAACCACAAAGCCAATAGTTCAAACACATTAGCTGCTCTTTGGAAACCCTATACAGGGTTGCAGTGAGTTGGAATTGAGTCATATAAAGCAGGAGAAAGATGAGGCCTTCTCCTCCCATAAAGATTTACAGCCTTGGAAACCCTATGCAGGGTTGGAACCAACTCAGAAGCACACTACCACCACCACTGCCATATATATAAAGGGTGAAGTTTCTTAAAGTTTTATATTTAATATTTTTTACATATAGGTTCTTTAACCTTTGATCTATAGATTGGATGTCTTTTCTACTTCTGGGTCTATGACTCAAATAGAGTATGTATGTATATATATATATATATATATATATATATAAACACACATACTCTCTCTGTCTCAAATAGAGTATATAACTCACTCTCTCACACACTCTCTCTCTTAGGTAACTCAAATATTGTCTGCACTCTGGCTGTGGAATTTATTTTAATGAACTTTTAGAAAAGACAAATAACATCACTTTTGACGTAATCCCTTTGCCTTTCAATACACCCTTTCCATCTGTCAACAAACTTTGATAGTCCCTTATTAAAAAATGTTTCAGGCTGAGCTGAGGGCCACAAATGTACTATCTTTACTTCTTCATCAGGGATGAATCTTCCTTCATCCTCTAAGGACTGCTTTCAGGGGACCAAACAGGTGGAAAGTCCGATGGAGCAAGATCAGGACTATAGGGAGGATGCTTTAATACCTAAAAATGAAGTTTTTGTAGCGTGTCAAAGTGTGGTCGGAGGTGTGTGGATGTGCATTGTCATGCAAGATCACAACACTGTTAGATAGCAGTCCTCTGCATTTGATCCAAAGTTTAGGCTTCAGCTCTTCAGTGAGCATCTCACTGTAATAAGCACTGTTGATTGTTAAACCTTCTTCCTGATAGTGTTTCAGTACTGGCCCTTGAGAATCCCAAAAAACTGTAAGCATCAATTTTCCAGCTGATAGTTGACTTTTGAACTTTTTCTTGGCTGGAAACTGAAGATGTTTCCATTCCATACTCTGCTGTTTGCTCGCAGGTTCATAATGATGAATCTGTCTCATCATTGGTAACAATTTTTAAAAAAGCTTATATATATATATACACACACACACACACACACACATATATATATACATGTTGTTGTTGTTAAGTGCTGTTGAGCTGGTTCCAACTCATAGCGACTCTGTATAGTGTTTCTGAGGAGCCGCTAGTGAGTTTAAATCACTGACCTTACAGTCCAACACATAAACCTAAAGTGCCATACCAGGATATACATACTTACAGTATATTTACACATGTATGTGTACTGGTGTGGCACTGTAGGATCAACAATGGGCTTCTAACCCACTATTTGCTCAATGGAAGCCCTATAGAGGGCCTCTATGAGTCAGAACCAACTTGTCAGCATGTAACAGCAAAAACAATATATATGATATATATGTGGTTGCTGTTGTTAAGTGCCATCGAATCAGTTCCGAGCCATAGTGACCCTGTATAGGGTTTCCGAGGAGCAGCTGGTGAGCTTGAACTGCCGACCTTGCTGTTCAAATGGCTTTGCAGTCTGGTGCATTAATCCACAGTGCTACACTAGGACATATACATAAATATAAATAAAAACATGTTCATACATACATACATATGGAGTCCTGGTAGTGTCTTGGGTTATGAGCTGGAACTGCTAACCCCAAGGTCAGTAGTTGGAATCTACCAGTCTCTCCAGGGGAGAAAGAGGAAGCTTTCTGCCCCCTTTAAATATTTACAGTCTTAGAAACACTATACAGTGTCACTATGCGTTGGATCCACAACAACAACAACAACAACAACACACACACACACACACAAGTATTTATAAATAGACACTTTGTTTGAATCATTGGGTCTCTTTTCCAAAAATATAAAAGAGATCCAATTTGTAGACCACAGGTTAAGAACCTATATTGTAGAAGATTTGAAATATAGAAACCTTAAGAAATTTCATCCTTGATCCCAGTTTTTAAGAAATTGGGATTTTGAGGTATATAATTTAGTGTTTTATATTGAGTTTTTCACTTAATATTGATTAGCATTTTTTATTGTCTTAAATTATTCTGAGCATTTCTCATAGATAATGTTTCACTATGTAGTTTTACCAGTATGTAGATCACTGTTGGAGCCCTGGTGGCATAGTGGGTTTCCAGTTGAGCTGCTAACCTGCTAAATGCAAGGTCAGCAGTTGAATCCTCCAAGCTGCTCCTTAGGAGAAAGATGAGGTTTTCTCCTTTTGTGAAGATATCCAGCCCCAGAAACCCTATAGAGGGTCATTATGACCTAGAACCAACTCGACAACATTTAACAACAGCAACAAGAGATACACAGGTATTTACTGCATCATTCACTTAAGTGAATATTAAAAATTTGTCACTACCATAATGTCTTATGAGTGTTTAAGATTAAATTTTACTGTTGTTGTTTCTAAGTGCTGTCGAGTAGGTTCTGACTCATTAGCAACCCTGTATAAACAGTTGGCAGGTTTCATCCACCGACCTTACAGTTCAAACAGACCTTGTGGTCGTCCAGTGCTGTTTTCTACAACACCACACGAGGACTCCAAACTGTACTGTTTTTCTTTTCAAATTGAATAAAAGCTTATGAGATATATTTTTCATTAAAAAAAAAAAAAAAAACACAAAAATGTTTTGAATGAACATTTAATCATCTCCAAACTTGAACAGTAACGTTTTTGTTTTTCCTGTTTTTATGACGTATCTGACCAGGAATTCGTGTTTTTTTGCAAATTTATATATCTTCTAACAATATATAAAAATGTCCATTCTTTGCCATAACTGAATAGTTTTAATCTCTGCTAATTTGATAGGAAAACAAGCATCTTATTGTTTAAATGAGCATTTCATTAGTTATTAATCACGTCTCTTTTGTCAGTCATTATCCACTTGTTCTTTTGTTTTTGTCCTTTGCCCATTGAATGTTTGTACTCTTGTATTTTCTGTTTTCACAAGAAATTTTGAAATACTGAGTTTTATTAGTTATACTGGTTTTATGTATTAAATATGAATATATAATACTAATTATATATATGTTGTCAATAAATTATGATGTTTTTGACATAGAGAAATTTATTTTTTGTGGTAAAATCTATGTATCTTTTTCTCATAGGTATTGTCCAAGAAATTGAATGATACTCATAATGAACTAAATGACATAAAACAGAAGGTACAAGATACTAATTTGGAGGTTAACAAGCTGAAGAATATATTGAAGTCTGAAGTATGTATATATTTTTTCTTTTTGTTCATGCTTATGGTGCAGCCGCTCCGCGGGAGAAAGATGAGACTTTCTACTCCCGTAAAGATTTACACCCTCGGAAACCCTGTACAGGGTCGCTATGAGTCGGAACCGACTTGACGGCACTTAACAACAACAACAATGGTGTTTACCTAAAAGTTAAATTTAACTAGTGCTAAGTTGGTAATCAGTTACACTCATTGGATCAGGTGAATCAGAGAAGATAATCACATTGGCAGTGATATATTTAGAACATTACATTGTCCACAAAGGTAACTCATGTAGTTACTGCTCAACCACTCTAGGCTAGCAGAATCCTCCTAACTAGATGAAAGGCAAAGGGACCAAATCATCTTGGGCTCTCTCATATTTGAAAATGGTGGAATTTTCAGTTATAGACCCATGACAAAAGAGGCTCCACTTAATTTTGCCGTGGAATCTCTTCTGACTCATAGTGAGCCCGTATAGGGTTTCTGAGGCTGGAAATCTTTACAGGAGCAGAAAGCCTCATCTTTCTCCTGCAGAGTGACTGGTAGATTTGAACTGCAGACTTTGTGGGTTAGCAGCCCAACTCGTAATCCATTACACTACCAGAATTCCTTATTTAATTGTGTAGCAGATTGGAACTGATTACCCTGTTGTTGTTGTTTTTAAGTGCTGTTGAGTCGGTTCTGACTCACAGCAACCCTGCATAGGGTTTCCAAGGAGTGGATGATGAGCTTAAACTGCTGACCTTGCAGTTCAGCGCATTGACCCATGGCGCCACACCAGGACCCTGTTGTAGGGCCATCTGTTTCTTAGAACCAGAGTGTAGATGACTCTCCTTTGCACTTCTTTGTTAGCATTTATTTGATCAGGCCATGTGTGTGGCATCAAATGATTTCAAATGGGGATGCAAATGTGGCAACCCTGGAATAAACAGACAGCCTAGCCAAGGATGTTAGCTATGTCTGTAAAGTAAAATATTATCTAAAATAGTGTAACTGGAGTGATTATTATAGTAGGTATCTTGTTACCTACGTACTACTTAAACCATTAATAGGAAAAAATTCCCCAGTTTTCCTTATTTTATTTAACATGCCATTTAATATCAATCCACAAAAGCATAAATTGAGCATTTATTTACAGTGTACAAATACACTACTCGTCTGTCTGTCTGTTATACTGTGTACCATCAGGCAATAAAGTAGAAGCCTTATATAAGCAAAACAGTGGTTTCCTACCCTTCTTGATTTTAAGGTGCCAGCAATGTAGTGTCATGAATAGATAGAGGGTTTGTTGCCAAAAAGATCTGGCTCCTCCTCTCATTTTGACTGATGTAGGTGATTCAACCTTTCCAAGTCTCATTTTCTTAACTATAATATGGAAGAATGTCCAAGGAAATGAGAAAATATTCAAAACACCTAGCACTGTGAACCATCTAAATCTGTTTTGGGACAGGGCAGAATATAAATAACTATTGGGAACAACATTTAGTATAGTAAGCTTCCAGCAAGTTTTAATCACTTCCTTTTTTCCCCTAGTCTGTCATAGTACCTGAATTTCTACATTAGGGAATAGGGCTTTTAGATTGCACGTTAAGTTTCTCTCAGCATTTAGCATCCTGTTATGAGTTCATTCCTGAGATTGATTTTCACAACATAACTAAATATGTTCAGCCTTCCTCCTCCTCTTGAGAGGATGAACCCCGAGTCTGTTTTGGTTTGGAGAGACAGTCAAATAGAGTACATCATTCATTCAGTAGTCATTGTGGTAGCTGGGGTGACATTACTGAGAAACTCAGAGGAAACAGAATGGTACCCCAGACAGTGGGAATAACATCAGTAAAGGTGTAAGAGAAGAAGCAAGTCCTATATTTGGAGTGGGGTATATAGGTGGCTAATGATGAAGAGGTACTGAGGACCTTCTTTGAAATCTTTTCTGGAAGTTTTAGTAGGACTTAGCAAGGAAGTTATTTAAGATTTACCTTTGAGAACGTCATTTTGGAGGTGCTGGGAAGAATTATCAGAAGGATAACAAAATCAGGAGAGAGAACAAAGTGACAGAGGCAGTAATTCATAATTCAGGCAAGAACTGCAAAGGCTTTCGGCTGCAGCAGTGAGGAGCTTTGCCTGGGGGAGTTGCAGTGAGCCCTCTGTGTTGCCAAAGGGAACTGTGGGATGAGGGGCAGTATAATGAAGAGAGAAAGAGGTCCTGCAAGAGGAGATGGGAGAATGCCAAAGAAGTTTTACTTTCTTAGTAATTTTGCCCATATCTGGCCCCACATTTTGCCCTGTAGGGGTAGAGGGTAGGAGAGATGCTTCATAGTAGTCTTTACGTGATGACCTAGCAAAAAAATCCAAGTTTTATATGGAAAAAAATAAAGGTTCCTATCTTCAAGGAATCCAAAGTGTTACATTGGGAAGACAGTACATACACACCATACTGCATCAGCTTTAAGTGCATGAAATAGAGAATAAGTACTACAGAGAGTTAAATATTTAAAAAGTGCAGAGATTGATGTGGATAAAATTCAATTTATGTATACTGTACTATGTACAAAGCCAAGAATGTACTCTGTATAGAACTATTGTTTTTAGTATGCATCATATTCCCACTTGCTCATTTTCACTGTCTGAAGGCCAGTGTGCTAACTGGTTAACTTGGCAAAGTCTGGCACATTAGTCAAGGTACAGCCAGACCACAAGGTGGCAATATTTCCTGAATTTGAACCATTTTGTTGAGATTAAGTAATCATATTGTGAGAACTTAAATCTGATATGAAAGGCCTATAGGGTGAGGTATTATTTACTGCAGTTTGGTCATTTAATTACCTGGTTTTCTGTTAAGAAAATGCAACTTATTAACAGGTAAGGCAAAAATTAAGATCTAGAACCTTTTAAATTAATTATTGAAATTGCAGTTGAGTTTTCACAATGAGTTGGCCATACCATATTACTAAAATGTGTTTTAAAGTCTTATAGTAATAGTAATTATTCAGTGTGGTATATTCATTTGTAGTATATTTATTTGTGGAGTCCTGGTGTCATGCTCTGGGTTAATGCACTGGACTGCAAGGTCAGTGGTTCAGGCTCATCAGTCACTCCTTGGAATCTCTATACAGGGTTGCTATGAGTTGGAACCAACTCAATGGCACTTAACAACAACATGTTTATTTGTAGAGCTGAAGTTTTTCCTACTAGAAATAAGGTCCTGCTTCACTCAGTCTGCTCGACAGAACTTTAAGGTTAAAAAAGATCTGGCTCTTTATTCAATGCCCAATATATGCATGAATATATTTATATATATGAATAGTGTTTTATGACTTTGAAGCTGTTTCAACAAAAGCAAATATAAGAACAGTTTGATCCATGGCTGAAGCTAAGAGTAATTCACTTTATTTGAGGCTATGAGTATGACCTGAGCCAGGACAGATCCCTGATCCCACTCTCCTTGGCTAATTACTGAATGACGAGCTTTTAAAATTAAGAATATAGGTAGGTTTCCTCAAGGTCATGTCACAAATGTCCCTAATGGCAAGTAAATTCCAAAATTACCTGGAAAATAATGTCTAATTTGTATCACATGTTGCACACTTTAAAACTTTTAAAGTAATATCTAAGATTTGCTTTTTAGGAATCTGAGAACCGGCAAATGATGGAACAACTTCGAAAAGCCAACGAAGATGCTGAAAACTGGGAAAATAAGGCCCGCCAAGTGGAGGCAGATAATAATACCCTCAAACTGGAACTGATCACTGCAGAGGCAGAGGGTAACAGGTTAAAAGAAAAAGTAGATTCTCTCAATAGAGAGGTTGAGCAAGTAAGTGTCTCCTTTAATCTGTTATCTATCCCGCTGTAAGAGTAATCTTGGTCATTTTTTTAAAATTAGAAAATATCTCAAATATACGAAAAAAGTGATACACACATGCATATGCCCACCTCCCAAGTTTAATGATCCTAATAGTTTGCCATATTTGCTTCAAATATTTCTTGATTTGAGGAAAGAAAAAATTATAGGTATAACCACATCCTTTTTATTCTTTCGCCCTTAATAGTTGGTACATAGGACTCATTTGCATATGTTTATACTTTTTCTACATATCTGGTGTGGTGCTGTAGGATCAGAACAGGACTGCTATGAGTCAGAACCGACTTGACAGCATTTACCACCACCACCAACACCATCTATTAGTGACCTATGTTGTTTGTGTGCTGTGAGCACTTATTGAAGTGGTAACATACCATTGGTACCTGTTTGCAACTTTTGTGCTAGATAGCCTCATTTTGAGTTTTATCAGTATATGTCATACTACTTCACATATTTTAACAGCTATGTTTATTTACAAGGTTTTTTTGTTTTTTTAGTTTTTAGTGTGAAATGAGTGTTAGTTTACATGGGAGAACATCGGTTTTACATTGATTGTTTCATTGTAATGATTACAATCATTCAACAGTATTTGCTTCCATTCCCTTTTTTTTTGTGTGTGTGTGTGTGATGTACACAAAACACTCAGGAATGTATAGTAATTTAAACAACCAACGAACACATTCTGCAAGCCTGTCTCCTGACCACCAGCACCTGGCCACCAGCACACAGCCTTTCCCTTTCCATGAGTCAAGACTCCTTAGCTGCGCCCTCTCTCTATCTCCCCATTTCTATCTCCATCTCTGGTGTTGCTGCTTCTCTGGATAGGGTCCCACATTCCTCCCTTGATGATCCTAGGGTCCCCTGTTCCAGGACTGTAAGATTAACTACTCCCCAGTTTTTGTTACAAAACTTGTACCTTTATAGTGTGACAGTCATGATAATTACTCGCTATTGAATCATAATAATTGTATCCCCATCTCTTTTTACCAGACCTGTCTAGACAAGATGAATACTATTCAGTGGGGATTCTGCCTTACCCCACACCCTCTGAAATTAAACTCCCTCTTGAAAACATGTAAGCCAGTCATATCGTATCTTTATAACTACCCCACCTACCCCCATTTTAGGTAGCCAATGCCTTAAGTTGTCCATCCCTATCAACCCTGTATACAAGGGGAAAGAATTGATCCCTGATGTAGAGACTCCTTCCCTCTCAGTTGGTATTTTTTATTTTTTTTTTATTTAATGTTTTTATTATGGATTGAGTGAAAGTTTACAGGGCATATCATCAGGTTTATATATAACAAATCATATACCTTGTTTCATTACATTGATTATAATCCCCTCCATGTACCATCAGTTAACAGTATTTCTCTCTATCCACTTAGGTTTTTAAAAAACACACAAACAAAAAAAGCACTCAGGCACATATAATAATTTACATCTCCAAAGGACACATTCTGCAAGTCTGCTCCTGGCCACCTGCTCTTAGTCCTTCTCTTCTTAGTCCATGAATCTAGAGTCCTCAGCCGCTCTTTGTCTCCATGCCCCTATCTCTGCCTCCATCGCTGGCGCTGCTGCTTCTCTGGATAAGGTCCTGCATTCTGCTTGTGTGCTCCTCTCTTGTTGGTCCTAGAATCCTCTTGTTTCTGGACTGTAAGATTAACCACTCCCCTGTTTTTGTTACAAAACTTCAACCTTTACAATTGTGACAGTCGCGATTAGTCATGATATCAATTATTCACTATTGAATCTTATGAATCTGATCCTCATCTCTTTTCACCAGACCCATCTAGACAAGATGACAGCTATTCAGTGGGGACC